TTTTTCTATACAATACAGTCTCTAATTTGTTTCTCTATATACTAACATACAGTTTTATATATCTCTATCTTAACACTAACTTAAAACCCGAACAGTTCTCCTTGATTCACACCAACAATAGAATTTGTCCCAGATTTCAAAGTAATCTGACTCTGTCTTGTCCTTCATTTCCATTGTGAGCCTATCCATATCAGCACACAATAGGATTTTATATAAAAGCTCTTCTTCTGTTGGAATTTCTTTATTCCTCCAGTTTTGTGCAAACGCCAATCTAGCAGCCGTGAGAATATGTAGCATCAAGTAAAGTATCCCTTTGTGGTATTTCTGCGTGGTTATACCTAGTAGGAAGAGTTCTGGTTTTAGCTCTACCTCTATCATTAGTATTTCTTCCAGCCATTTTTTAACCTTGTTCCAAAAGTCACGGGCTTTTGAGCACTCCCAGCACATGTGGCCATATCTTGAAAGGCCACTGTAAATTCTTGGACAAGAGCCGCACAGTCTTAAGAGCAGAGTGGCGGGAAGATATTTGTGATGAGGGAGGGAGAAAAACACAAGAAATGCAGCTGGCGAAGTGTCACCCTCCGTGAGGAATGAAGAAGGGCACCATTGGCTGGAGGTGATCAGCAATTGGCCCTCGCCGCCTCCTGTGAGCATGCTGAGGCAGGTTCAGTTTCTCGCTAGCTTCGCCTCACCCGGTCCATCCTCAATAGATATAAATTTAGCTGGCTAGCTGTAATAAACACAGTCCCTTGTAATTCACTTTTGAATATTTATATTGCTGGGTTGATAGATGGGAAATTATAACTAGTTTGGGGATATTGGTTGAACTGAATAAAAAGTGTCTCATCACTAACCCACACCCACGTGTTTAGGTTACCAGAAACTATTACATAAGCAGAGGGATTATTAAGCATAAAGGTACTTTTGTATGCTTCAAGTTTGGTCCATAAGCTATTAAATTGGAACTTATTTTGAGAAGGTAGGGTAGACACTGTAATAGAGTGTTATTAAATTTTCGCTGCACAGATGTATAGCGCTCCACTGGGTCTAACTAATGCTTGAACAAAGGTCAGTTGAAATCTATGCTTAAATGTGGTGGAGTCCCTAGCTAGAGTATAGGGGAGAATAAAGAGGCAGGCTAGCTTAGAGTCACTTCATGGGAGGAAGAGGCCAGACTCCTGAAGGCTTTATCTGCCTGTTCACAAGAAAATGCAGTTAGTCTAGTGAAATTCTTGTAACTAGAACAACATTAAACTACTTTGACCTGCTCGTGGAGTCATTCTGGTTGCTTGTGCCTGACATTAAGCTACCACATAATCCAGGAACTGCTGCAAACAACACCTATACCTACTTATAAAAAAGCTATTATTTAGCCAGGTTTCTTGAAGCTGAAGTATTCAAATTCAGCAACATAATTCATGAAAGTCTGAAAGGGAAATACACAATTTTAAAACTATTTATATTCTAAAAATCAGATAGTAGATTATAAATCCTTTTTAATAGATTAAATTGGGGTTTTCAATAATATATTAAGACACTTGGCTATATCTGAACTTTTTTAGGAAGTTTTGGAGGAACCATTCTTGCTCAAAAATAAAAAGCCACACTGTTGAGTTTAATAGTAAAACACAGTTTTTTTCAACTTATAGTTTTATTTTCTAAGAAAAGACATATTTCATAGAAAGGATATACCGCTCCCAAAATAACTTTAAATACATTACTCTGAAATGAATTAATTGATTTTCCACAAAGTAATTTTTCTCCTAAATATACACACATAGTGTTAAGACATAAAACCTCTCAGCATCATTCCTTAAAAAAATTCTTATTCTTCTGGTTAACTCCCAAACATTTAGTCTCAATTACATATTCAGATAATCAATCTTCCAGACATTCACAGCCATGTACCTCATTATTCCATCACACAGATATTGCATATTCCTAAACTCTCATTGGGAATTTCAGCCATCCACCTAAACTCCCTTTCCCAATTTTAGCCAAAAAGCTCCAATCTTTTGACCATTTTTTTCAGTGTTCTGAGTCCATGGAGTACTGAGATCTATTCTTTGGAGGATGTTAGCTTTGATGCTTCCCAGTTTTTTTTAAAAAAAGTTTTAAAAATTTTAAAGGTTTTAAATAAAAGGCACAGGGAACTTGAGAAGCATCAAGAGGTTTGGAATTGTAATAACAACATTTCTCTTTTAATATAAAAGGACTTATTTCTGAGTAAACTTGTAGGATTGCATTCTGATGGTATTTCTATTGAATAATTCACACTGGACCATCTCTCACAAATTTGCATCAGGATGCAAAATCAATTGAAAGAATTGTAGAACTATGTTTTTAGTTTTAACCTGATAACATAAGCTCTCTTACTGCACTCTGATAGATGCTGTAAGGAAGACATTCGAAACAGGAAAGTTTATATGTAACCATCAATATACCTAGTCTTTCTGCGATTTTAATGCTCTGACCATAAATGACCCCAAAGGATAAAGTTCCACATGAGATCTACACATGGGCAGTTATCCATGTTAACATGAAAAAAATCAGGGCATGAAGAAATGTGCAACATTTTGGGTGATGCTAAAAGACAAATAAGTGAAGTTTTTGGAAAATAAAACATGGCAATGCAATTCTATGTATTTTTTTCTCAGAAGTAAAATCTCATTGAGATTTACTGCTGGAATTGGGTATGTCTAGTTTAATGAAGAGAAGGACAAGGGGGGGACATGATAGCAGTCTTCCAATATCTCAGGGGCTGCCACAAAGAAGAGGGAGTCAAGCTATTCTCCAAAGCGCCTGAAGGCAGGACAAGAAGCAATGGATGGAAACTAATCAAGGAGAGAAGCAACCTAGAACTAAGGAGAAACTTCCTGACAGTTAGAACAATTAACCAGTGGAGCAACCTGCCTCCAGAAGCGGTGAATGCTCCAACACTGGAAGTTTTTAAGAAGAGACTGGACAGCCATTTGTTCGAAACAGTATAGGGTTTCCTGCCTGAGCAGGGGGTTGGACTAGATGACCTCCAAGGTCCCTTCCAACTTTATTATTATTATTATTATTATTATTTGATCTCAGATGATAGCCAATAGTCAATGAAATAATAAAAACACATTCATAACATAGTTTTCATTTTGCACACAATGGTATGACAGGTATTAATTTCCAAAATGAGCTTCACATATCTTATGAAATCAAAATGTTAGATTTGTTACTGTTTCCATATTTTTAGTTACTTTTTGCATAATGTATTCTTTAACAATATCCCAGCCAATATGGACTGATTTTAAAATATGAAGGGCAAAAGTTCAGGTTAGGATGAATTTTCTAATGTATTCTCATGAGCAAAATGTTAGTTGTATTCCATGTTAATATATTTGAAATAGGTGTCAACTTTAGCAAAGTGTCCAACATTTTCACAAATAAGTATCATTTCCTTTTTTATTCTCTGTCATCATTTCAATATGATTGAAGGCTGGATTGTCAGTTCCTTCATTGCATGGTGTGCAATTCAAAACTTTTTTATCTTCCTGGAAAACAAGATATATTTTTAGAATAAATGTAATAAAGAACAGTATATGTAATAATAAATGTAACAGTTGAGTAAATAGATGCGATTTTGCTTAGTGACAAAATAATAATAATATTGGTACCAGGCAAATTATCCTGGAGAGGAGGTTCCAGAGCTCCTGGTGGAGAAGAAAAACTCTTTTAGCTATCTGGGTGTCAAACCATATAGGGATTTAAGGATTAATAGCATGACACTGAATTGTGCTCAAGAAGGGACCAATTATTAATGAAGTTCTTTGTAATTTCAAATCCTCCAATAACTTTAATGTTAATGTTAATAACTTTGCAGTTATTTATTAGATTTTATCCTACTTTTATTTTATTTTTTTTAATAAATAACTCAAGACAGTGAATATACCTAATGCTCCTGCCTTCTTCTATTTTCTCCACAACAACAACCTTATGAGGTGGGCCGGGCTGAAAAAGAATGATTAGTCCAAAGTCATCCAGCTGGCTTTCATGCCTAAGGCAGGACTTAGAACTCAGAATTTCATGAATGCCAAGCCAGCACCTTAACCACTAGATCAAACTGGTGCTCCTTATATTACAAAACTACTTATTTCCTCAATGGTAGTTAAGAAATTATCAGTATGCCACACCTTATGAATAAGCAGTTTGGTCTAGTAGTTAAGATTAGAAAGGCTAGAAAGTGGGAGACCTTGAGCTCTCATCCTGCCTTCGTCATGAAAGACAGTTGGGTGACCTTGGGCTAATCAGTCTATCACAGCCCAACTCACCTCACGGTTGTTGCTGTGGGAATAATAGGAGAAAGGTATGTTGGATATGTTCGCTTGCCTTGAGTTATTTCTAAAAATAATAAAGGTAGAATGCAAATAAATAAAAAATGAAATGAGGTGCTCATGAATTTATATTTAATCATAAACAAAATAGATTTTAAAATATTAATTTAATTAGTATTTGGGGAATTGTGTTTTTTATTGCTTAATAATCTCCTGCGTGGTCATATACAGTTTTGAGAATGTTCCAGCATTCTTCTTAGATGCCCAAGTCACAGTGGTGACACAGGATAATATTTGCCTGTTTGGGTCTATACATTAGCTGCACTTACTACTGGAAAACAACATTTGATCTTGTCATTCATTGATAATTCCAAGATTAGATTTTTGCAATGTGTATTTACCGTATTATATGAAGTGGTCCTTGAAAACAGACTGTTATTTTAGCTAGTTAATATATCTGCTCATCTGCTGCCAAGTGTAAATAAGAGAAATACAACATCCTCATAGGCTTTCAATATCTGTATTGAAACCAAAGCCTAAACACTGATTTTATACCAACAAAAGGTCTAAATCCTAAATATATCAAGGATAGGCCCTGCTTCTTGGTTATTACCAAGTTGGTGGGTGGGTGGTGGTATGGGTTTCTGTGCTGTGGATTTTTAATTTTTTAAGCCACCCGGAGTCACTATTTTGAGTTGGGCAGCCATATACGTTTGTTTAATAAATAAATACTACCATTTTGAAACAGCATCCTAATTCAGGTGCGATAAACTGAAAGCTAGGCTCTTATCAAAACAAATACAAGATTTCCCCCCCACCCTTTGGAATACCATCCTTCTGGAAGTTTAGAAGGGACAAGATTTCCAAAGGGAACTAAGAAGTCTTTCCTTGAATAAAGATATGTATAAACAATTCCCTCACTAATGTTTGCCTTCAGATAGGAATGCTAGATTTTTTTTGCATAGTTAATAAAAGATAGCCACCAAAGAAATGGTATTTAATAGTATAGTTGCAAATTATTTCAGCTTTTCAGAATCAATTTTATTGTAAATAAATTTTTATAAGCTAATCAAGAATTTCATTTTTAAGACATAGTGCCTAAAAAGGGCTATTTCTGACTTTCAGTTGGTTAGACAATGTTTTAAAGAAGAGTTTTATTTATAAAAGAAAGCACTGTGCAAAAACCTCTATAGCCTAACTCATGGATCCAGGTTTTGATCATCTAACATTTTGACATACACTGTGGATGCCCCAAGTGGAATAATTTCTGGGATGACTTTTTAGTGTTCATATATAGCAGAGGATGTAATAACATTTTCCACTTGCCAGAATTGTCCATCCAGGTGGGAGTATTAAAATCTGGAAAATGGTGGGCATGATATCAACAATCAGAGCCCTGCCATTTTTGCACTTGCATGCAATGTCAATGCATGTGCAAAAGAGGTAGAGTTTAGACCATGATGCCATACCTTCCATTTTGCAGATTTTGACCTTCCTCTGTGGACATCACTACCAGTAGCAGAATCTGATAAAGGACTCTTCTGTTATATCCTTAGTGCCTTCAGCTCTATAACAAAAGCTAGTTAAGAATTAGGTACTTTTAAGATCTAGAACTTTTTAAATATTCACTTTCTTCTTTTATGTAATAATATTTCATAGCCAGAAAACTATAATAATGATCAAATTTACCTTCACACAGGTTATAAACTTATATAAATGTTATTATTTATATCCTAGGTTCAATACAAATTTAAACAACTTTATTAATCTACTGCTTCTTGGAACTATAAATTGATGTAGAAAGGCAAAAGCGGGTGACTATTTAAAGCTACAGAATTTATCTAATTTTTTAAATACTGTTTCATAAATTCTGAATTACACAGCATCTGAAATGTCTTCATAAAGACATGAAATTGTCTCTATGGTGAGATTAAAGTACATAGTTGGCTGTTCAAAAAAAATTGTGGCCAATCTCATCTATAATATATATCCCTATCATTCTGATAGTGGCCAATTATTTATTCAGATAACAGCCAAGAGTAATAATATTAAGGGCAAAAAGAACTGGTAACTTCAAAACTACATCAAAGAAACAAGTCATAATAATTCTGACCTCTGCAATGGATTGTACTTGGACCTATCTTTGAAGATAATATGGAAACTTAATGTAATCAACTAGAATTATTACCTGACTAATTAGGGGACAAATCTATCCAATTATGTGATTGGAATGTGTAATCAGGTGAACTGTTTCTGTGCTCAGTTCAAAGCACTGGTTTGTTCAAAGCATTTCAAGTGCTAAATGGATTGAAGTTGGAGTATCTGTTATATGCTTTTTCTTATATAGTGTGTTTGGACCTCTCTGTCATTTTTGGATTCTTTGTTTCTTTGCAATCCTTATCAGTCTGGAATAAAATAAAATAATGTATACATACTTGTTTCAATTTACCACCTGAGAAATTACAAAAAAGATCCTCTTTGCTGAGTAAGAATTTTTTGTCCACTTTCTGCTTAAGTCCTCCTGAAAAACATTTATGTGGTTAGTTAAAATATATTAACACACATATAGTATAGTTAAATTATTATTTGTGCAAAACAGTAACAATAGTATTAACATGAGATGGCATAGTGTAATCACTTTTAAATTTTTCTAACTTGTTTTTACTTCTGTTTTTAACGTTGGTTTTGCTTATGTCTTTTTTATTTCGCTGTATGGCTTTATTTGTAAACTGCCCAGAATCACTTTGTAAAGATGAGCAGTATGTAAATTTAATAAATGAATAAACAAACAATGTCCTTGTTTCTTTCTGTTTCTTGAATTGTATGCTCATGCCAATGAAACCATTTTTCATGCATCTAAAATAAACTTGAAATTTATCAACCTGATTTGAATTTGCAACAGCTAGGTGAGGTTGTCTGCAAAGTCAAATCCAATTGATAAATTCAGAAAGCTAAATAAATTACAATTTAAAATAAAATGAAGATTTGTCATGTACCAAATTATTTGTTTAACTGTATATTAGGCTGGACACACTTTAAAAAGATTTAGAAGTGCTCATGTGAACTTGAATAAGCACTTCTTATGTAAGTTCAGCACCTTTGTGTTATTTATTAAAGCAGCCTGAGTTCCAGGCTTTTAAACAAGATTGAAAAAGAAATTGTTATGCAATAAGAAATCCAATTATTCTAAATCAATGTATATTATTTTAACAAATAAGATACTTTATTTGCCCCATCTCTGAAATACGGACAGACTTTTATTACAGAAGAAGGGAAAATGTAAATTAAACTTTCAAAGTTTAAAAGATTAATAGTATATTTTATTTTTTGGATTCTAAAAATCCAGATATTGATGCAATTTCAAAGGAGAAACCTAATCCTAACATTTTGATATTATAAATTCAGATATAATTTTTATACAGAGCAGTGTTTGAATTCTGTTCTTCTGGAAATAAATATATACTTGAATAAAAGCAAAACTAGAGGAATCATTAATTACCTGTCAAAAGGCTAATGACTATTCCCACAGCAACTGTAAACAGAGTTCCAATTGGGCTTAAATACAGATAGGATAAGGAATACCAATAATCTGCAAGGACTGGTCTAGAGGGGTAAAATAGAATTTTTATTTGTTTAGTTTTTTATTTGTTTAGATTTATATACCGCCCTTCTCCCGAAGGACTCAGGGCGGTGCACAGCATATTAAAAACAAGTAACAATAAAATACCAAAAAATTAATAAATACCAAAATAAAAACCCCTCTAAGACCAAATTAAAAGCCAAATATTAGTAGCTGTGTCGTAATTAAAATTATATTAAAATCATCCCTAACTAAA